AAGATTCTCTTTTTTTTATTTTAACGTTAAGATAATAAAATTTGGCCCTGCGATGGACTGGCAACCTACCCAGGGTGTAGCCCGCCACTCGTCCACTGACAGCTGGAGATAGGCACCAGCACCCCTCACAAACTAAGCGTGACGCAAAAAGGATGGATGGTTGGATAATAAAATTCTCAGAAAATATATTGATCAGATCAACTAAAACTACAGCTTAATTTATTTAGTTCACTATTATTTATCTGCATTGATACAAAAAGATTTTTTTTTTTTTTGGGGGGTTTTTTTTTTTTTTGCTACTTTTACAAAATACTAGCTTTGCCAGCTTTTCTTTTAAAACATTTTTGGACCCCAACTTTTTTGTTGTTGTTTTGCAAAAAGCAATTCAAAAATGAAAGCCATAAATGAGTCTGAATAATGCAGATAAACCAATATGCCTAATTCATTATGATTTATCCATACAGCTTTAAACTTTTTTGCTGTACTTCTTGTATTGTTCCACATAATCCAAATATTGATCAGTGTACAAAATGCTTTATATTCTATATTCACTGCCCCCTCTTTTTATTGTTACATTTAACACTTTGGTTTGCAGCCCTCAGCAATAAAAATTCCCTGAAGGAGAGCAATACTTTCCACCCAGCTTTCCTCCCACCGTTCATCTTACTTGTTCTTCCATTATTGGTTAATTAGCAGATTGCTTGTCCTCTTTTCACAGCAATTAACCATCTTCAAGCATTCAGAGCTACATCATTCAGTGCTTCGTCCCCTATATTACCTCCCCACAGCCCTTGAAACCAGCAGAAACGTGGGCCGGAACCAACATGGTGTAAATGATTTTGTATTTATGTGTTCTAATTATGCCTGTTTGTCGATGATAAATATGGCAAGGGCAACTGATTTAATATGCAAATTGTGAGTCAAGACAGAAGTACTGGAATGTGGGGGTTAATAGAAAGAAAATCAATTTTTTCCTATGCTAATTGAGGAGCTATATTGAAGGACCTTTCAGAAAGGGAGCAGCATGGATAAGGATCTGTGACAATTAGATGAAGGTCAGAATGATATAATGCATGCCAGTTTTTTTATTATAATTTTAGAATTATTATTTTTATTGATTAATAAAGGGAAATACTATTCTGTCTTCATAGTTTCTTACAAACTATTGAAAATAGCAATCTAAAAGGATTTTAAAGAAGCTTTATATATATATATATATATATATATAGATAGATTTTGATAGAAATACATTGATAAACAGACTTGGTTCATGGGTAAAATAGCACACATTTTAAGCTTTTAAATGGCAATCAAATTTAAGGGCATTTTCTCTATGTTAGAGTAAAAGATATCAACAGCAAATCTTTACAATAAGTACAAATGAGAACCATTACATAGAAAAAAAAATAAATAAAAAATCAGTCACTAAATCCCACCAGACACCTGATAAAAATTGTATCATTTATGGGATTTTTTTTACCGTCAAGCAGGGGAATTTGGGCCCTTGTCACTGAGCAGCGGCTCTCACCACATCTTTAGGATTTAACTGACCCATCACATACGAAACGGCAACCTCCAAAAATAATCTGTGCAGTCTCTTCACTACTAAAATATGCAGTTGTTTGCGCCGCCAGACCTGCAGCATACCGCCAGCAGGCAGCACTGGAAATCCCCGATGGGAGCTCTCTGCTGTGGCCAGTCTGTGGGGGATTTCTTGCTGCCATTCGTAGCGGCTTTGTCATGATTGGGTTCAGGTTTCTAACCCACATGCAGAACAACTCGGAGGCAGGTTAAAAGTTTGACTGTTTATTGAAATAAAGCACAATTGTTAGATGACTGGTGTTGGTCAATGATCCGGGACTGGTCACACAGGACTCTCTGCAGAGAGGGACAGTTTGGTTAGCCAGGGTTCAGATGATCTTGGTCAGAGTGGTTGAGCAGGTTAGTACCTGTGACGGGTTTCAGGCGTAGCAACAGAGGGAGGGAACCAGGAGGGTCCAGAGGCTAGGAGTTGGCAGAGGGCTGAGCAACGGCAGGGCACTACTTCAGACTGATTGTGTTCAGATCCAGAGATTCTCCCGATCCTCTTCTTGAGGGCGGGCAGGCATGTTCAGACAGCAGGTTCTTCAGAAGGGCTCCTAAGAGACAGCAGGCAGATCTCAGCAGTGAGCTCTTCCAGAGTTCCAGGATTCAGTCAGGTTTCTTCCTATGAAGCAGAGAAGACAAAAACCGATTAGGTTCAGATTCAGGTTTTCAGGAGGGTCAGAGAATCAGACAGGCTGGCTGGCTGGCTCAGGCTTTGGTAACCATAACTGGCTTAACACTCTGGCACTGGAGAACAGCTCTGCCGCTGCTTATATCCTGGTCTCCTGATGACTGATGGATCGCAGGTGTGGTCGTCAGCTTAGCTCCAACAGACCTAGGGCGCGCTCTGCTGGAGAAGGGTGGACAGACCTCCAGATCCCAACAGGGTTTAAGTGAATATAAAAAGTTTTTAAGGTTGGTGGTAAAAACTGAAAGGACCAGATGATACAATTTAATATTTTTCATTGACAGGTTTTAACAATTTTAGTTAATTTGAGTACTCATAAACTGTTTGGCCATAGTTTATTAAAAAAAAAAAAAAATTAGTGCAGCAATAATGATCAAAGCTCTCTCTCTGTTCTTTGTACATAAAATTCCTTTCTTCTGGATTTTTCTTAACCTTTGGATTTTAACTCTCTTGATACTTATATTTTTTTGATATGCAGAATGTCTGCAGAAGCAATGACAGACTTACACAACTTTTATTGTCACTTTGTATACACAGAATTGCATACAAACCGAAATTTCGTTTTGTACAGCTTGCAGAACATTTCCATTCCTTAAAATGTAGCAGTAATCAAACGCAAAATTAATGCAAAAAACCCCCCCGCATTGATATGGAAAATCAGAGCATTAAATATGTATGGTGCAAATACATTAATTTATAGACATTTAAAAAATGTCTATAAATTAATCTTTTTCTGGGGCTTCTGTCAGTCAATTTCCCCTGCCTATACAGCGTACCTGCCTCAAGAGAATTCCATGTGGAACAAGGACGTTTCAGCCCCACAATTACCAGTAGCACTAGTATTAGTAACAATAAATAATGCCATTGAGGGTTTTTTCTGTATTTATCTTACTTGCATTTATATTACAGAAACTCTGAAGGCTAAAACATGTTATGTTGTATTGTTTCTTGCTGGAAGTATTTTAAACTATACTGTAAGGCTTCTGAAATAATGAACTTCCCTTCTCCTTCTTCCTGCTTTGAAGTGATCTTTGACTTATACAGATTTTATTTGCCATTTTGTTTACACAAGTGTAAAACAAAAAGAAAGTTAGTTTGGAACAGCTCTCTGGGCAATTTCATCTTTTTTAATGTGTAGCCTTTGGTTCTCGCTTATACTTAATTTATTGACAGGATTAATATTATTTTCAAATTTTTAGTTTTACTCTTACTTGTTATTGTCTTTTTCAGCATTCTTGCTAGTATTTATTCTTCGGTCTAGTTAGTTATTCTTTCTCTTCAGGTTATGCTTTTCATGGCTTCAGTTATCTCCGGTTCCTTCTCTTATCCTATAGTTTTCCTCTTGCTTATTCTTTATTTTGTAGTCATTAGTTTTATTCCCCTTTACCATTATTTAAGTTCCTTTATAGTTACAGTAAAGCCCTGTTTTCCCTGGTTACTCTTTGTTGCCCCGCGGTGCCCTTTTCCTTTCCCCTTTCCCTTTCCCCCCTTTCTAGCTACTTCTATCTACACCTGCTCCCAATTAACTGAACACACCATTCTTGGTTCTGTCTCCCATATATAATCCTCCTATATGTAGTAGTATGGTTTTCCTGAGAGTCTCCCTGTTTTGGTTCTGGATTTCCCTTCCTGTTGTTTATTTGATTAATTTTTCTGTTGCTACCACATCGAATAAATCTGCAAGAACTCATCTCCGCCTCCTCATCTCTGCATTTGGGTTCTCAACCAACTTCTACCAAACCCTGACAAAAATGTCATCCATATGATCTGCTTGGTAAAATATTTCTTGTTTGTAGCTAGAGAAGCAGTGGCTTAAAGCACAAGTGACCAAGCCCCCAAAAGGCTCTGATTAATCAGATGGAAACCTCCCAGTTAAGATTGATGTGACACCAAAGTGGGCTGTCCTAATTCAAATCCTATAATGACCAAGCCATGAACACACACCACACCTTCTGGATAAGCTCCTGGCACCATCTAGAACCCTAGTATTGTACCAACATTTAAATAAGCAAGAGCCTGTCATGGTGTGACAGAAGAAAGATGTCCTCTCTACAGTATATAACACATACAATTTCCTGCAAAGCAACAAATTAAGCCAGAGCACAACTTACATAATCTGTCAACTTCGGATAGTGCATGATTATGTATTTTTTATTTGGAAGTAAACAGAGAACTCACTTTAATATCATCTAAGCATGTCGAGTAAAAAACAGGTAAATTATTAAAGGGAAAGTTTTCCTAAAAAGTTAATGCCATATACAAACACATGTATCTGAAGTTCTATGTTTGCTGAGACAGGAAAAAAAAGTGGGGATGAAACAGGACAGGTATAAGAAGAGCGAGACAGAACGGAGAGAAAGGTTCAAGGTTGGATCGAGTACACATCAGGGATTAGTTTACAGCTTCTTCATGTTTGCAGTTGTGATTGGCAGTTAAACGACCCGACCCACAGCCACAAATCCACACCACTGAAATCGACGAAATATTAAAGCTTTAAAATAGTTCTAAGTTTTTAAAATGATTTTTCACATGGAACATAACAGTTCAGTTACTCTATTAATATAATCAGTAAAATGGTCAATGGAGGACATTAATGTCTAAAATGAGAGCATTTAAACCTTTAACCATAACTTTATGTTGTATATTTACCATTCTGCTGTTTACTTATTGATCTACGCTTACCTTTCTGCTCCATTTTGAATTCAAAATGTTCCCTCTTTATTCGCAGGGCCACAACCTCTACAGATGTGGTGGTGTCGATCTGTGTTATTTTCGCCATGTCCTTCATCCCTGCCAGCTTTGTCCTTTTTCTCATCCAGGAGAGGGTGAGCAAAGCCAAGCATCTGCAATTTGTCAGCGGGGTAAACCCGGCTGTCTACTGGTTTACCAATTTCGTCTGGGATATGGTGAGTGTTGCTGCAGCTCTTAAAGAATTAAATCTCTCCTAATATTACACATTATGTTCCTGAAATGTGATCTTTAATCCATTTAGGTAAGTTTTAAAGCCCCATTATTTCTTGTTTTATAATCTAGCTCGCCGCTGTTCTAAAAATTTTATACCCACCGAGGGCTATGAGCAAAAAATTGTAATTGATAACGCAGCTCTGACAGCGCCGGCCACAGGGAGAAAGGCTTTCCCTGATACACTGTTATAGGCTGAGGCGTAATTATCGACAGCAGCTGCCCCTGCTGGTTATGCTCAACAGGCTTACTTGTACTTTCCCTGAGGCATCATGGAAGTAAACATTTCATCAGGCTCTTTTGGTAACAGAATACCATCAGGGCAGACATTATCACACCGAATAAATGCTGTCTAAGTGGAAGACAAATGCATCGAGGGAGCAAGACTAAGGATTTTATTGTCCGTGTATTCCAATACCAAACCAATAAGTCCAAAGATTTTAGGTTTTCAACTATACCATTTAAATCTCCATGTAACATGAAGAAGGTACAAGAAGGATAACTTATTGAGTGTATTGAGTTACTTCTGTTATAAAGCAAAAAGCATGAATTTTCAGTGTCTTTATTTGGGCTTAAAATATATATAACATTTGTGCAAAATGTTTACAATTTCCTAACGATCAGCAGAAAAATCAATTTGAGAAAGTGATAAATGTAATGTATGATTAAACGATGAAGTAAATTTATAATATCAGAAGCATCACAGAGTAGAATTATTAACTGATAAATCAGTGACCGTATTAAGAGTTTATCAGGCTCTCCAGAGTCTTCTGCAGAAGTCTCTGATTGCTGTAATTTAGTATTAATCTAAGTGAAAAAAAGAAAGAGGTAAAAGATATAACACATTAATTTCTCATCTATTATTACCAACCATTAAAAAACATGATATGGGTGCATTATTAGACTGATAGAAAATGACTGGATCGTTGCAAGTTGTTCAAAGCCTGTTGTCACTTTATTCTTCTCTGTTAAGAAATCTGGGTGTAACAGATATTTCACTTATTTGTTTGTTTTGTTTTCCTGTTTCTAGGGCTTAAACAATTAACTGGATCATTTGTGATTAATCGAATATTGAACCAATCGTCAATTCATTTACTAATCGATTCACAGTTAGCTGGAGTATAAGAGACTCTTAAACATGCCTTTAGCCGACAGATTGGCCCACTTAGAGCAGTAATTATAGAAAAGTGAAAAAAATACAAAAATATTTTGTATGTAAGATTTTTTTAAATGTCTGCTAAAATGCTCTACCCAGAACTCCTGAAGTTGAAAAGTTTTAGTTTAACTTGGTTGACATTGTAATGTAATGTGTAATGTGTAATGACATGTAATGACAATAGAGTTGAATTCTATTATATTCTGTTCCTTTATTCTGTAAAAAATCTTCTTTAATGAAACTTTTGCTATCCGATAATTGATCGACTGAAAAAATTATCAACAGATTATTCGATTTGCTAAATAATCGTTAGTTTCAGCCCTATTTGTTTTATTTAATTCATTTTTCTCACTACCTCCCCTTGAAAATAGCTATTAAATCTGTTAATGTTGGATGTTTTGATGTTTCTCTGCTGTGTCTAATGTAGCCTAATGTAAATAAAGAAGGGTTGGATTTAAATTGGCAAGGACATTTTGAGAGAGCAACAAAAATTTTACAGGGATTCTAGGGTCTAAATATTCAAGTCTACCTCTCTTATCTCCTAAATATGCATTAATCACTGTGTTTGACACCTTTTAACTATAGACTGGAAATGCTTTTATGAGGAAATAAGTACAATCTTCTTATGAGTTTCAAATTTTTAAATACACATATAAAAAGGCACAGTATCACGGTGATTGCGTTCAGTTAATATGTCACTGAGCGAACATTAGTTTCAAAGAGAGGCATTTTTTTCTTCACTGAATTAATTACAAAGTTAAAGCTGTATAGACACAAGTGTTAATTAAAAAGTTATCCACAGATTTTATTATCAGTAACAGGAGGAAAATTAAATAAGAAAGCATTGTAAAACTGGTGCCACCTTTTACAATAAACACATCTCAGCCTCAGCTTGAAATAGCTTATTTTTTTTATTTTATGATTTTTTTTGACAGTGTAACTACATCGTCCCCTGCATCATCGTGATCTTGATATTCCTCTGCTTCCAACAAAAAGCCTACGTCTCACCTCCAAACCTTCCTGCCTTGATACTGCTCCTTGTTTTTTATGGGTAAGTAAAATAAAGCCAAAAAATAATTATATACAGTATATATATATATATATTTCTCTATAGATAAAGCAGGTACTGTTCTGTATAAGGTCTATGTTAAACATTTCAAGTAAGGCTGAAGAAGTTCATCAATCTTTCGTCCTTAATGGTCGTTATCCGATACGACAGACAGGATAAAACATGACTGAAATAAAACAGATGTAGAGATTTGTCGGTATATAAAGACAACAAACTCAGTTTTAAGCACGGTGATCTGCAAGTTTTATATATACACTATATTGCCAAAAGTATTTGCTCACCTGCCTTGACTCACATATGAGCTTAAGTGACATCCCGTTCCTAATCCATAGGGTTCAATATGACGTCGGTCCACCCTTTGCAGCTAGAACAGCTTCAACTCTTCTGGGAAGGCTGTCCACAAGGTTTAGGAGTGTGTTTATGGGAATTTTTGACCATTCTTCCAGAAGCGCATTTGTGAGGTCGCACACTGATGTTGGACGAGAAGGCCTGGCTCTCAGTCTCCGCTCTAATTCATCCCAAAGGTGTTCTATCGGGTTGAGGTCAGGACTCTGTGCAGGCCAGTCAAGTTCATCCACACCAGACTCTGTCATCCATGTCTTTATGGACCTTGCTTTGTGCACTGGTGCACAGTCATGTTGGAAGAGGAAGGGGCCAGCTCCAAACTGTTCCCACAAAGTTGGGAGCATGGAATTGTCCAAAATGTCTTGGTATGCTGAAGCATTCAGAGTTCCTTTCACTGGAACTAAGGGGCCAAGCCCAGCTCCTGAAAAACAACCTCACACCATAATCCCCCCTCCACCAAACTTTACACTTGGCACAATGCAGTCAGACAAGTACCGTTCTCCTGGCAACCGCCAAACCCAGACCCGTCCATCAGATTGCCAGATGGAGAAGCGCGATTCGTCACTCCAGAGAACGCGTCTCCACTGCTCTAGAGTCCAGTGGCGGCGTGCTTTACACCACCGCATCCGACGCTTTGCATTGCACTTGGTGATGTATGGCTTGGATGCAGCTGCTCGACCATGGAAACCCATTCCATGAAGCTCTCTGCGCACTGTTCTTGAGCTAATCTGAAGGCCACATGAAGTTTGGAGGTCTGCAGTGATTGACTCTGCAGAAAGTTGGCGACCTCTTCGCACTATGCGCGTCAGCATCCGCTGACCCCGCTCCGTCAGTTTACGTGGCCTACCACTTCGTGGCTGAGTTGCTGTCGTTCCCAAACACTTCCATTTTCTTATAATACAGCTGACAGTTGACTGTGGAATATTTAGGAGCGAGGAAATTTCACGACTGGATTTGTTGCACAGGTGGCATCCTATCACAGTTCCACGCTGGAATTCACTGAGCTCCTGAGAGCGACCCATTCTTTCACAAATGTTTGTAAAAACAGTCTGCATGCCTAGGTGCTTGAATTTATACACCTGTGGCCATGGAAGTGATTGGAACACCTGATTCCAATAATTTGGATGGGTGAGCAAATACTTTTGGCAATATAGTGTATATATATATATATATATATGTATATATATATATATATATATATATATATATATATATATATATATATATATATATATATATATATGGGTGGGTAGGTGGATGGATGGATGGATAGATAGAGATACAGACATAGATAGATAGCTTTAATTTGATTTGTAGACTGAGAATGCCATAAAAGAAGTTTGATTTGTGTCTGGTGAACCGTGTCTATGTTTATTTGACATATGTACTGGATCAATATTCTATTAAAGGGCCCAGCGGTTGGGCAAGGAGGTGGTGCAGGAGCAGAGTGCACAACCCATGTTCTAATGCATCAGGCCTTAACGCAGCTGTCTGGGCCTTTGGACATTTCCCCTTTGACTTCCCCCTGTCTCTCAACACCATTTCCTTTCAGCATACTGTCAAATGAAGCCTACTAGAGGTATAACATTTGAAAAGCACCCAGCAATGACTTATTTTCAAATGTGCACCAACTGTCAACAGGTTTCTATATAGGATGTCTACGAGCTAATTATGCTATACGCTCACACAGGGTCCCCTTTTCAGAATAGGCGAAAAGGTTTCTCACAATATCATGAGTAACATGGCTCTTTGACAAAACGCTGTTTTAAGATATTTTGGCCAATGCCTTAGGTTTTGTAAAAGTACTGAGGATTTTAGCTCAAAGCACTCAGACATCAGATGTGTGGTTAACTTGCTGGACAAACCATCTCCAAAAAACACACACTGCACAGGTCACAGTGAACCCAACAAGGCGGAACGGGTTCCTTCACTTCAGCCAAGCATAGTCTTAAAAAAGGTTTAAAAATAGAATTAAGCTGCTAGGCCCTGTTCTTCGGAAGGTTTGCTTATGTTGAAACAGTTGCATATGGGTTTGTATGCACAGAGCAGATCTTCAAGAAAGGGGCAAAGATATGGAAATGTGAATATTTACCAGGGACAAAGCGATTTTCCATATCTGTAACTCAACCGCGTCTGCAGTTCATGTGTCCTTTATGACCTCTTAAAGTCAGGTATAAACTTACACTGATATTTAGAAATATCTGTTGTCATATTTGCCATAAAGCAGTCCTTGGTACAATGCCAGAAGATGGAGAGTGATTCTGTGCACATGTGCAGACAACAATAGTAAAATAATCTTGATAAAAAAAAAAAAAAAAAAACATCTACTGTATGGTGGCCACCAATTAATACAGTGGGATGGCAGACAATCTTTATACAGTTAAAACAAACAAACAGTCGCTGAGCTTACATACTGTGGCATGTGTAACATATATTACTTATATGATTGAATAAATTACCAAATTAAATCAGAGAGAATCCTTAAGCTCAACTCTAAGGTGTTTTCTTTTATTCAAGCAATTCAACCAGTTCCTAGTTGGGATGGAGTTAACAGGAAGTGCTGTTTTCTTTGGTGCGTTATATGGGTCCTGGAGATGGATTCTGGAATGGGATCCTGGAACAAAATCCTGAAATGTTAAACCTGGTCTGTATAAAACAGGCGGTTTTGTCAATCAAAATATCACTACAGTGAAATGAGTTTATATTATAACCATTAAACTCATGCAAGTTCTCAATCATTTCATTTTAGCATGCAATGATAGTGTTTTACAATTCAAAATAATTTCAGATTAAAAGCTTAATCCAGGTGAGTAAACATACTCAAATCAGTTTACCATCAAACCTTGTTATCTGATGAAGGTTTTTAATCCACAACAATTTATCTAAAATGTGAGAGGCATATGAGTGGAAGACTGTATTGTAGACACTTGCAAGAGTCAGAAGCCTACCAGCATCAGCGTCAGACAGCGTCTCTTACCTGGGCTGCTACTCATCAGCCATATAAGCTACAGCTGTCAATTTAGAATGCTGACATGCAGCTGGTCATTTGACCATACATGGCTTTTTTTGTGGTAAAATACTTAAGAATAGGATTTTATTTTTAAATAATAAATAAATAAATAATAAAAATCAAAACAAATTATCCTGATTACACAGGTTTATAAAAAAAAGAATCAGAACAAAGACATGGGGGGGAGCCTGCATCTCTTTGGAATGAGAATTTTCTCTCTGTCTATTTAATAAAACAATCGTAATCAAAACATAAAGCATGGTTGTGTTTTCGTTTTTTTTATTTCCTTTGTTCATAGTACAAGGTGCACTATAATGTTATTCATTGTTATTAATTTTAATAGTTATCATTATTGCCATCATTTCTATGGCTTTAGACCTCATCTGTGTTTTATGGCCGCTTTTAAACTGCCGGTAGAACATGCAATCTGCTCATTTTATGGGATGAACCAAATCCTTTTGCATGTCTTAACACTTGCGCAGCAATCTTTGTAGATCACCTGTAAAATGCCCACTTATTAAACGTAAAAAGAAAAAAATGGATGTGAAATTTAGAGCCTTCTATTATTATGAATCTTCAATATCAGGCTCTAAATGCATTGCAAACTAAGATAGCTTTTCCCCATCATTTTACTTGTTTTGGTTCCACATCGACCAGCTTGATTTTTAAGAGCTGCCATGTCAGCAGGAAATCACCAGCTTGATTTGTAAGTGATGAAAGACAAGGGTCATACCAAGGAGATGTTTATATCACCTGGTTTGGTATGTAACTGCTTCATTAATGCTCATTAAGCTTCACTTTAAGGCACCGGTAGGGTATTGTAAACATTATCATCTTTTAATCGGGATCTAGAAACTGCAGCCCGGATGTAGATAGTGGGTCATGCTCTCTTTTCCTCTTATTTTTTTCATTTGAAGATTTTTTTCCCCCCTTGGCTACCTTTTTCATAGTGCTTGTTGTCTTGCTTATTTAGGATTTTAAATGCCCTCTTTGCAGTTTTCTGTTTATTATCATTGTCCAGACTTTAAAAATTGGCCAGTTTAGATGAACCAGTTAATTTTACTTTGTTATAAATATCTACAAACAATTGTTTTATTTTAATGGCATGCCTGTTGTCTTTCCCATTTTAAGGAGTCCTTTTTTTTCTCATCATATGAAAATAAATAATTGATTTTTGGTTTCTCGACTACAAAAGTCAAGCCATGAAGAAGTCATAATTTCTACATTTTGAGTTGGATTCTAGGTTCCTCTTTTAAATGTTGAACCGTTCAGGAGACACTTGAGCCCACGTCCTACTGATCAGTGCTGTGAGAGCTGCTTTGTGAATGTGAAGCTAGAGTAAAAAGCTCTTTTATGCCTCACTATGACATGAAAGGAACTATAGAAATTAGCCAGTTAACCATTCAGGAAGGCTAAGAGAGGAACAAGCTATTTTAGTAGAAAAATAAAAATAGAATAATGTTCTGAAATTAAGGTTGGATTAAGAAAAATGTAAATAACGTGAGATCATGCTGCTGCAATATTGTAAAGCTATTTTGCTGCTTTTCGACGAGTTTGTTGTTTTGACGGTATGATCAGAGCTCCACAGCCAGTGATAATCAATAAGTCATTTAGATGTTACATAAATACCACCCAGCATGTTCCTCCATGTTTTATAGTCATAGCACACATGCATGCATACAAAAACACACAGAAAGGCAAAAAGAAAAAAGAAAAAAGAATTTAGTGCTGACCTTTAAAAAGTCTGTAAGTAAATTATTTGAACAAATATCAAATGTTACTCCTCAATGAAGCTCTAAAGTTCATGCCCAGGCCATTAACGGAAACATTTTAGTTCAGTTTTTTTTCTCTGTGACTAATTATTTCCTATTATAATAATTGCAGTGCATATATTTTAGTGCACATCATAGTAAACCAATTGAACAGATGCATAAATGTTTTGGGAGGAAAAACTCTGCAGAAAGCATCTGTGAAGCAAATGTATTCTGGTAAAAAGTAGTTCATGTAAATATATCATCTTGGAGATATTTAGCATTAGTTGCAAGAAGAGTAATTGATTTTGCAAAGTGTCTGGCAGCTCTACTGGATAATCCACTCGACTTCAAAACAGCTACACTTTGTCTCCTTTTATAACTCAACTTGATCTGCTGGCTGCCAAGTGTGGGCGGCATCTATTTTACCGCGTCTTTGTGGGTCACTTACTTAAAATGCTAATGATGCTGTGGAGGCTGCTGGTGTCATGGACCGGCATAGCTGACCTAGTAATCTACATTCATGAATTGAAAATTGCATGGATTCAATAACTGCTAATTTTAAATTTGCCACAACCATTAACCCTGGTGGTTATTTCTATGAGCGTGGGCCAATGTGGGGATAACCTTTCAGAAATGTAAACTTGGACACTTTTTTTAAAGTTTACACACCATTTGTTTTCGGGCATCTTTCTAACTATCTGTTTTGCTGTGTTTAGGTGGGCCATCACACCCATGATGTACCCTGCTTCCTTCATCTTCAGTGTGCCCAGTACAGCGTATGTGTACGGTGGCCGACAGGTGCAAATGCGCAGCAAAAGAGAAAACATGCAAAAAAAAAAAAAGACACGCTCACAAATTAAATGCGGCAAACAAAAAGCAAATAAAATGCAGCAAACAAAAAAGAAGACACCCCCGAATGAAATGCAGCAAACAAAAAGAGAGACGCAAACAAAAAAGAAGACACCCCCGAATGAAATGCAGCAAACAAAAAAGAAAACACCCCCGAATGAAATGCAGCAAACAAAAAGTGTTGAAAACGGAAGTGCTCCAGACCACTAGGGGGAGTCAAAGAAAATAGTATTCATTTCTATGGGACCAGATGCAAGATTCAGAGAAAGATATTTGAAAGAAAGTAAAGGTACGTATTACTATATTTCTTTTTAGATACGCCGTCTTTTATAATATTACAGAATAACAGAATAATTTATGGGTAGCGTGATAGACTTTGTGTCAGTCATACCGTTGATAGATAGATAGATAGATAGATAGATAGATAGATAGATAGATAGATAGATAGATAGATAGATAGATAGATAGATAGATAGATAGATAGATAGTGAATTCGATTTACGCTTTTAACTTTCGTATTTTTATCTTTTTTTGATTGCTCTTATTTTTTCACAGTGACTCTGTGAAGTATTATCCTCTATAATGAGGTATTTTTCGGGGAGGTTCTGTGCTTTTTTGTGCTGTTTTTATCATGCTGCTCCCACCGGGACACGCTGCCTTTGTTTACTCCAGAGAACAGCTGATCGCTCTAATGCCGGCCAGCGTTTTAGCCAGACAGCTGAAATACCACCCGAACTCTGGAGGAAAACACGCCGTGGTTGCAGAGGAGGAAAACAACATTATCACTTTACTTGGATTTATCACTTTAATTGGACTTTTCACTTTATTTGGATTTAGTTTTTACATATGCATAGATATACGTACAGATATATATGCAGAAGAGCTATATGTGTATATATATTTTATCTCTTTTTATTCTTATTTTTTTAAATCTTTATTATATTGTATAGTTGGATGTGTGTATATATCATGTAAAACTGTAACTGGAGCGTGTAACAAAAGTAATTTCCCTCTGGGATTATTAAAGTATTTCTGATTCTGATTTACCTTTTTTAGGTGGCCATGTTTTGCTGTTTCTGTGGACAAAATCTAGGAACAATTCAAGTTTTCTGTTTTTCATGTGGGAAGAATGTGCAGATCTTGGCACAAGCTCAAGACACTGGTAAGCAGTGATGGCATAGTTACTTGTAAAAATTAACTTTAATCGATTACTTATTACTACTTGAAAAAGTAGATTAGTGATTACTTTTTTTGGAAATTCACTAAGTTACATTATTTATTTTTCTCCACCACTTGTGAAAAGCTTGAGCGTTGCCAGCCATATGTATGGCTCCTCAACAGCCAACCAACGCATCGAAAGCTGGGGGTCATATTTCAGAAAACAAAGGTGAGTTTGTCAACAGTTTATTGTAATTTTTGTATAAATACCAAGTAGTAGACCTTGAAAAGGTGAATAAATTTAGTAGTCTTCTTGGATAAGCAAACATTTCAAATTTTTAATGCAACATTTTACTCGATTACCTCTACTTTGTCAGAAGAAATGAAGTACTTGCATATCTCTTAATGACCATTATGTTTTTGTGCTATATACAACTTAATTTTATAGTTTAACATTTGATATGGATGAATCAGAAGCTCAACATTTAAAGTATAACAGTTGATGTCTGCTTACTTTATATTTAACTTTGTAGGTCAACATATATTTAACTATTTTCATGACATAGAAACTAGTCCTATTACTTTCTGCTGATATAATTATCTTATAATTTTGGTTTATTGTTGATCTCAGTTCTGGATGGATCTCATGAACGATTTGAAGGAAAGACATCTCTTCAATGGAAGTCATGAGCACACATGCCTTGTGCGGTTTGTCTTCATGGATATGCTACAGAGAGATCTTGATGAATGCAAGAACAGGTGGCATAAACATACCATAAGACCTGTTAAACAATCTTGCTGTCCATCTGGTAAACCAGATGTGATGTATCATCTACCTCACAGGTAATTTTTGTTGTTTTTGTCTTCAACATCTGGTTAATTTAAAACCTCTTTGGGAACTCTAAAAAATAATTTGCCAAAACAAAAATAATGAACAATGTGTTAACAGTATGTCACTTTTTATTCTAACAATTTCAGATGACAATTTCTAAAATGTAAATTTAAATACAATTAATCATTTAGACAGGTTATAACAATAGTCAGAGCAGTAACAGTTTAGTGAAGAAATGTAAATATAACTAAATGTTTCCTGTATTTCTTCTATTCCTAGGTTTGGTGGAACAGACTGTGGTTTCCTAGTTTCCCAGGAGCCATTCGGACAGTTTGTGACAGAGACTAACAACATTCAATGTGGAGATGAACACCTTCAGGCACATTTTGAGAACCTCCAGAGACAGTGTGGCCTAGCACATCCACAGAGTTGGGAATCATGTGTCGAAAACTATATTAAACTGAAAAACATGGTGGACTTATAAACAAACAAGAATCCAAATTTGAAGGTCGCACACAAACAGTAAACAGTGTCATAACTGAACAGGTTTGACAAGTTAAATAGATAGCATTTTGTTTTGTTTTGCATTTGACCTTAATAAAGCCCAAACCCAGGGGAGTTTTGAATCCCAAAGTCCATGTCTTCTTTAAACTGATGATACGTCTTGGACATTGGTATTTTGATAGTGTTGGAGCAGGTGCTACTGACAGGAAAACGAGAAGTGGCCTGAAAGATCAGTTTTGGTGGTGGCAGAATTGAAGATGGAGGTAGTGTGTTCAAGCCGGTGGCAAACATCAGGACGTCCTGGAGAAAGAAACCCGTTTTTTGTTCTAGAAAAGAAGCAATGAGTTTATGTATCAGATATTACAATAACACCAGAATATAGCAATAAATCTTAAAGTCCTCCTTCTGCGTCAAGGAGAAGGTCTCTCCAGAATCCTAGCACTCTTGTTTCCTCATGTCGTCTGCTGCTACCCTTTTCACTGAGCTGAACCTCAAATATTTCCTCCAATATTTTGGATGTCAGCTGTTCCACTCTTGCACGCATAAATGGCCTGAAGATGGAAGCATGCTGCTCCAAAGCATTCTGGAAGTTCAGTGTTGAAAGGCCATCCTTGAATCTATAAAAAGTTTGAAACAGAAATCACCTTAATTATTATCAAAAGAGCTGATATTTTTCAGTAACACAAAGAACATTAATATGTCTAATCTATTTTTATTATTTTTATTTAGCATAGGTAATATTGCTGATGCACTGTGTGTGTGTGTGTGGGTGCTGTTGTAACCATTAATCTCCCGTTCAGTTCAACCTTATAAGCGGAGATACATACTTGATATTACTATAATTAAATAACTTGTAATTAATTATTTGCAACGTTCAAGCTTTTCACAAGTGGTGGAGAAAAAAAATAAATAATGTAACTTAGTGAATTTCCAAAAAAAGTAATCACTAATCTACTTTTTCAAGTAGTAATAAGTAATCGATTAAAGTTAATTTTTACAAGTAACTATGCCATCACTGCTTACCAGTGTCTTGAGCTTGTGCCAAGATCTGCACATTCTTCCCACATGAAAAACAGAAAACTTGAATTGTTCCTAGATTTTGTCCACAGAAACAGCAAAACATGGCCACCTAAAAAAGGTAAATCAGAATCAGAAATACTTTAATAATCCCAGAGGGAAATTACTTTTGTTACACGCTCCAGTTACAGTTTTACATGATATATACACACATCCAACTATACAATATAATAAAGATAAAAAATAAGAATAAACAGAGATAAAATATATATACACATATAGCTCTTCTGTATATATATCTGTACGTATATCTATGCATATGTAAAAACTAAATCCAAATAAAGTGAAAAGTCCAATTAAAGTGATAAATCCAAGTAAAGTGATAATGTTGTTTTCCTCCTCTGCAACCACGGCGTGTTTTCCTCCAGAGTTCGGGTGGTATTTCAGCTGTCTGGCTAAAACGCTGGCCGGCATTAGAGCGATCAGCTGTTCTCTGGAGTAAACAAAGGCAGCGTGTCCCGGTGGGAGCAGCATGATAAAAACAGCACAAAAAAGCACAGAACCTCCCCGAAAAATACCTCATTATAGAGGATAATACTTCACAGAGTCACTGTGAAAAAATAAGAGCAATCAAAAAAAGATAAAAATACGAAAGTTAAAAGCGTAAATCGAATTCTCTATCTATCTATCTATCTATCTATCTATCTATCTATCTATCTATCTATCTATCTATCTATCTATCTATCTATCTATCTATCTATCAACGGTATGACTGACACAAAGTCTATCACGCTACCCATAAATTATTCTGTTATTCTGTAATATTATAAAAGACGGCGTATCTAAAAAGAAATATAGTAATACGTACCTTTACTTTCTTTCAAATATCTTTCTCTGAATCTTGCATCTGGTCCCATAGAAATGAATACTATTTTCTTTGACTCCCCCTAGTGGTCTGGAGCACTTCCGTTTTCAACACTTTTTGTTTGCTGCATTTCATTCGGGGGTGTTTTCTTTTTTGTTTGCTGCATTTCATTCGGGGGTGTCTTCTTTTTTGTTTGCGTCTCTCTTTTTGTTTGCTGCATTTCATTCGGGGGTGTCTTCTTTTTTGTTTGCTGCATTTTATTTGCTTTTTGTTTGCCGCATTTAATTTGTGAGCGTGTCTTTTTTTTGTTTGCATGTTTTCTCTTTTGCTTCGCATTTGCACCTGTCGGCCACCGTATATGTGGCATTGACTTGCATCAACCTCTTTATTGGGATCAATGGCAGCATTGCCACCTTCATCATGGAGCTCTTTGATGATGATGTAAGTGACAAACACAATGAAAAATGCAAATCTCCTGCAAGGTCAACATGCCCATTTATGCTGTATAAAATTATATATGTAGGTCCTGCTGTAATGTAGTGATTTCTTCTTATGCATTTTCTTCACCCAAACTCTTATATATCCATTAATATCTGTTCCTCAGTTGCTTTCTAAGATTTTCTAAGACAGTTCTTAATTGCAGTTCTGTTTAGCCATGCTTCAGTTACTTAGTGTGTCACTAACCTACTTATATACATATCAGCCCCTCATAAAAAGCATAAGACCTGGAAAGAAGCTGGTAAGAGATTCAATATCCACAGTGAAACAAGCCCTTTACCAACATCAGCTGCAAGGCCGCTCAGAGAGAAAGAAACCAACGATCTGAAAATATTAAAAGCCAAATTCGGAGGAAATTGATCTGGGTAATTTCCCAATAATGAGGAATGAAATTGATTTCAGTATATTGAAGCAACATCTCAAGATCCTGAGCATGCCACCAAACTGGTGATAAAGTAGATTTTGGGAGGCAAACTCTACATTTTGATATAACAAGGTGTGATAAGGACACACTGCTCAGGTACAACAGGAGGAATTGTCTAGAATTGTCAGAGGTCTATGGAAAGATACCTCAAAATATTTCACCAAAGTCAAACTTTTTAGGTAGGAAATGGCTGTGGACAATGAAAAATATGTTTTTCTCTTATTATTTTAGCTTTTAACAAACTTTTATAGTCCGAACTGATGTAAAACACAAGAGGTTAGGCTTATTTAGTGTTAGACAAGGAGCAAAAAGTTGTATTTTTTTTTAATTATGCAAATAAATATTGGTCTTACTTGTATATACAACAACAGAGGTCTCTCTTCTCCTTCCCATCAGTAAGTCCAGACTGTAAAAATCCCACGGCTGCTTAAAAATCTTATTTGCACAGCAGCCATAACAGAAGCCGGCTAATTGACTTGAATCCTCGATAAACGTTCTGTGCCTTCCAAGCAGAGCTTTCCTGGTGTATGCATAGGTGGGCGGGTGGAACGTGTGATTCCACCTGGTATTTGCTTTAAAGCAGCCCCTTTAATCCTTTCAAGTATTTTTCAAAGAACCAATTTTTCCCTATTCTTTTTAAACTTTAATCGTTTGCAGAGAATTGGGGTCCTCTGAGAAGTTCCCTCATCCATCTTTGAGTGAGTTGTTCATTTCGGCAGCAGCCTCGGTCTCAAAGGATTTAGAAAGACAAAGAAACCAAAAGAGAGCCAAATAAGAAATGCAGAGCTTTGGTTTGGATATGAAGCAGCACAGAATGAGAAAACTAACTGTCAATCATTTTTATTTTTGATTGTACTCAAATGAAATTTCATAAAAGAAATAGGCAGTTTCTGACTCAGAAATGTGCATCAGTGGATGTTATATACTTCATTGTATTTCTTTTATATTCATCCTTGGCACCAGACATGTAAAGATATATTTATAGACTTATTTGTTATATTATTAACATCTATCACACATGCTTTCTAAGTGCTGATCACTCATTCCTCGTCAGCACACACAAAAACTTAACTCTGACAAGCTGCTCATACATCTGATGCTTCATAAGAGTCGCACTATTTTCCACAGTGCGACTCTGATCCTGTATGTTGTCTCTCCACGTAGCTTTTCCCCTCACTGATGCAGATCCATCCGACTCGATGTGTCCTCTGGCTCTGCTCGGGATATTTCTCGTTTCCTAACAGCACTGCATCCTCTGCATTGTGATTTCATTATCACCAGCATTCATCATCCATTTTTATTTATTTATTCCTTTACTTGGTTCTCTTTTTGCCATCTGCATTCTCATTATTTATTAATACTGTGTCAGTGGGGCATGTAACTCATAAAAGGTGCCAACTTAATGGGCAGCATGTTGCCCGCAGGCAGAATGAAGGGACGAATTTACAGCTTGCCTCTCTTGTTCAAAGCGCTGGGGACGCTGATAGCGTTTCTGTGAGAGTCAGTAGTGACAAAGATCTGTAAAAATCCTCCTAATTATTCTTTTTTTTCACTGCTATCATGAGAACAGATGAGTCCACACCAATTAGAGAAAGTTAAAGCTGATTTCTCTGTTTGACAGACTGAAAAAATTCTATGAAGTAGAATAACTTGGGAATTGAAGCATATTTTACTACATTGTAAAATCTCTAAGTTTTATTAGTGAGATACTATGACTGACCAACCCAAAGAATGAACATGGTTGTGGTTGCTCCCTCTACTTTGGTACTCCAAAATAAAATCCATTGCAACCATTAGCTTAATGTATTCAGTTATGTGTAACAGTTTTAATCCAGCTATTTGGACAGGCAGTGAGATGCGTAACAGGCCCAATGGCACAATGGCAGCCCACTGCTCTCCAAGGGGATGGGTTAAATGCAGAGATAAATTTCTTCAGTGTGAGATCAGTTTAGTTAAATAAAAAGTAAACCCAAAATTATGAAAATCTTGAAGTAGTAGGGAAACGGTTGTTCCAACCGTTGTATTTCCGTATTCTCCCGAGTGGTGCCCAACTTTGTGCGACTGAATAAAGTGAATGTAATTGGTCGTTTATTAAGATGGCCGGATTGTTTTGGCGGAAAGTTCGCAACCAAATTTGGTTGTGACCGGTTTGACGGAAGCATCTTGATAACCAATTAGCAACTTAGTGCTAGTAGGTACCCAATGCGAAATTACATTGGGACCAAGGAGCACTAAGCAGCGACACTGTCAAGGAACGCTATGTACAGAGGAAACATATAAGAAGAGGACAGTTTTGTGTCGGAGGTCGTGAATGAGTCTACTCCGTCATATATTTTTTATTTAGAGCAGGAAAGCGGAGACGAAGATGCTGTAGAAGAGGATGCCAGGGTGGCAGAAGCTTAGTTTTTTGTAGAAGGCTTACAGCCGTATATGTTTGAGCCCTTGCCTCACAACGCTGCCAGTTCTGTTAGCTCTACGCCTGCCGAAGAAAGAGACGTCCATTCCCATGAACACTGGGACGGAACTCAACGGTAATTCAGATGTACAGGCTGACGTTTAACTAACTGGCCTGCATAAGATAACGAAAAAACAACAACACAGATATTAAAACAGGTTTTATTTTGTTAAAAAGAATTTTTCTAAATTTTGCCACAATATAGTCTGATAAAGAGTACATTTATATACATGTTTAAGCCATAATTATTTGACATTTAAATATGACTTCCCTACGACTTTAAAGAGCATTGTTCAATCCATCACCTGAAATTTAATTAAGCATAGCACAGCGGCACACCTGGAAAGACCATGTCGTCAACCTTGAGTGACGGGCAGTGAAAGGAGCACATTAACACGAGAAACCTCTAATAGGAAGCTGTGATTCAAAGCCTTTTGTCTTTTTTTTTTTTTTTATTTTAGTGGACCTAATGTGCTCCATAAAGTTGGACTTCAAAGAACAGTGACAAATAAAGCTATTTTTGAAAGAAATATGTCAACCAGCCATGTGAGAGAATAAGAAAAACATGGAAGAAGATGCTTTTGTCAAATGAGACTAAAATTGAACTTTAAATGGATGATGGCAGCATCATGCTGGGGGATTTCTTTTTTGTAGGCAATTAACCGAGGACTTTACAGAGTTAGTTATGATATTGATAGAGTTAAGTATAGGTCTGAAGCAAAAGACAAAATAAAAAGACTTCAGAATAAGGTTAGAGGTTAACCTTCCAGCTGTACAGTAACCCTTAACATACAGTCTGAACTACAGAAGAATGGTTTAGAACGGTGAGTTAGGAACTCACTAAACACTGTAGTCCTACCGAAATAGTAAGTGTACTGCTTTTTCTTATGTCTTTGTATCAAAAAGTTTTAGAACAGCACCTAAACTCTATTTATGTTTCACTATGAAAGAACAAAAAAAAAATCATTGTTTTAAATCCTTCAAACTTTTAAAATGCATTTCTCACCAACTTAGTCCTTCAAATCTGCCATGGCTTCCACTAATCTGGGATGACTGTAAGCTGCATTGATCAAGTGTGTTTGCTTGTCCCCTGTCTCTTTGTGTCTCATTAATTCACTAGCAAGTGAGAACACTGTTCAGCCTATGTTAGTAAATGTGTTATGTTGTTTAAATTGAGTGCATTCAGAGGAATATATTGGAATATAACTGCTAACCTTTTTTTTTTGTCAGAATAATGTTCAACTTCCAAGGTAAATGCAATACAGCAAAACCAGACACCAGTACTTTTTTTCTGGTTCATTGTCATCTTTCTTAGTTTTTAATAGTTTTGTTTAAAGCAAATACTAAAATAAGAATTCCAGATTTGAATTCGCTTCATGTGTGATTAAATATTTAGCGCCAACATTTGTTGTGAGTACCACTGAATGCAATACAGTGGTACATTATGAGAACCATGGGTTTAGGTCAAAGCATTGTTGTGTTAAAATGGTCTGCACTTAAATCCTACTGGGAATCTGTGACAAGACTTAAAAATCAATAATCCAAATGCCCCCTATTCAACCTGACTGAACTTGAGCTATCAGCAGCACAGAGAGAGCAAAAATTTCAATCTATAGATGTACAAGGCTGGTAGAGACATACCCCATAAGTGCTGCTGTAAGAACAGCCAATGCAAAATGTATAAAGGATTACTCACAGGGGCTGAATATAAACACACAAGTCTCTTAGCCTTTTTATTTATAAAGAAATAGAAAGTAATTCACGATTTCCCTTCCATTCAAAGTATTATCCAATACTTTGTGTTGCCTATCAAATGAAATTCCCAAAACATATGTTGAAGTTGGTGGATTTAGCAGAAATTGTGGAAAGGTTTCGGCAGTTTGAATACTTTTTTCAAGACATGGCAGGAAACAGATGTACACTTACCACATGACAGCTCAATCCTACAACAAAGCTTTGTCTCATCGTCTTTGGGCTCCTCAGCGGTGGCGTTAGTCAAACAGTGTCGCTCAAAAATAAAGCTACAGGCTCCCGGACGTTTTCTGTCTTCAAGCAGAGGGAGGA